CCAGTGAAGCAACGTCCTCCACAACTAGATTGAAGAACAAAACGACAGCAACTTGTCTGTTCCCCTTTCCCCAATTCCCCAGCACTGTTCCCATCCCCACAATTCCCCAATAAAAAAAATCTTTAAAAAAAAAAAAGATTAATCACTGCACCTGACAATAAATCTGAGGACCTCTAGCCATGGACCTTCATCCATGCTACATCAAACAGTTTAATGTAAAGCTCATCACTTTCTTTGGACACCAGGATGTGAGCACAGATGTTATGTGGTAGAGCTCAACCATGATATGGTCACACAGAAGAGCCAGGATACACTTCTATTCATTTTTAAAGATTATGGCCAAAATGAAATTACAACATTTGAAAATGAAGATGGATGGCTCATAGACCCTGGACATAAATTCACAAACCCCTAAGGGCTCAAGAATTCCAGGTCAAGAACAACTTTACTAGATCACTCAGAAAGCATCCAGCCTGGAAGACTGTGAGTCAGGTATGGCACAAAAATTATTTATAAAGTGATCTAAACTTCTAATATGGTTAATCTCAGTGGGACTTGATCATTGATAAAAGAGCTGCTATTCAGCAGCATTCACAGCTGTGTTATACTGGCCAGTGTCTGTTCTGATTGGTCAGTACCCACAATGCACCTGTTGTTTATATATTTACATTACCTGAGCATTGGCACAATATAATGTATTACTAAGGGGAATTCCTATGGTCTCAAACCTGCTCACCACCATGGTAAATCCCTGAATAAAGGCCAGTAGGATGATCTGGTGACTAATAGCTCTAATAATAATAAACACCAGTAGCATCATTATTAAATAATTAACATTTGCATAATACTCTATCAAGTTTTTGTGTCTTTTATTTTGTTTGGTAGAAGTCAAACTTTAGAGAAAGAAAGGAGAGAAAGGAAAAAAAAATAATTACAGCTCTTGTAGATTAAGTAAAGCTAGACAAAATATACCGAAACCTCACTCAACCTGCCCATGTCCTTCACAAATGTCTGGACAGACAATGGGTATAGCCACTGCCAAATAGCTGTGATCAAATAACCTCCTATTGTTCTTGGACTCTAAATTCTCTCTCTCTCTCTCTCTCTCTCTCTCTCTCTCTCTCTCTCTCTCTCTCTC